TTAGGTAAGCTTACCAGTCTGTCTTGGTAAAATTACCAATAATTGGTAAAAAAAAGTGAGATGGTAAAGGTACCAACGGACCTTGGTAAAAACGCCGAGAATTTTTTTTCAGAGGGCAATCGAGAAGTGCCCTTTTCGCATCTAGTGCCTCAATTGCGCTGGTTCATTTTTGCTGAATGCGATCCGTATATCGTCTCTGTTCTGCTGTAGAGGGCGGCAACCCAGCAGGGATGTTTAGCGCTCCGTTTGTTTTTATTATGTGCCCGCGTCAAAGGCGAGCGTGTAACTGTCACAATTTTAAACGCCTACGGCCGGCTGCTTTTCACCACCGGTTGATTTATTGTTCCGTAACATGCATGCGCCCGTTTGCCGTTGCCCCCAGACGGAAGAACGTAACTGCATTGCGAGGTGAGCCCCGACCTCCGCATAACTCCATGATTTCCGGGGCTCATCTTTAAATGTACTTACGCCCTCACCTCGAGCCTCGCGTCCGGATGTGAGACTTGTTCTCACTCGCGCGAAAATATTTTTATGACTGGCATTAAGCGTAGTGAGAGTCAGTGGCGAGGCGTGGATGATCGATAATCGATATTTCCCCATTTAAACCTATGGTAAAGAATCGATTATTAAGGTGTTCGCCGCGAACACCGCGTTAATCGATCCTTTTACATAGGTTTGAATGAGAGATCTATCGATACATCGCAAAGCACGCCACGCCACTAGTAAGAGTAGATTGTCCAGCGCGTCAGTGATGATCGGATCGACGACGGTTATTGGCTAATTTAAACTGTTTACAACGTCCAATGGCGAGGCGTAAATATCTATTATCGATGTTTGTCTATTTGAAATTATGGTGAAAGATAGATTATTAAGGCGTTAGTTGCGAATGATCTGTCTATCAGGTCCATTTCACCAGCCCCCAAGCCGCCTGCAGCCACCCCACTTCCACAAAAAAATATGAAAAATATGTCATCGTTTTGTAACTGTTTTGTAACGTTTTGTAAGTCTAAAGTACGCCACGCCACTGAAAATATCGGAGTTATTGTTGGAGTGAATAGAGTGTTGGAGTTGCAAATTTCAGCCTGAGCCAAAAGACGAGTTGCTCTTCCTAGAAAATAGCTCAAAAATTACTATGAGCGTATTTGGAAAGTTCGAAAAGGAAGAGTGGTGATTCCAACGTGGAAGAGTCGCCACTTTCTCCCGCAGTGGTGATTCTTGAAAGTTGGCAACATTGTTTTCCCTCCATTCGAATGTATGAACGGGCCTGGATACACGCTCAAATTTCCGATCAAAATGATGACAAAAATGGCGGTCGAGAGTTATCTAAATTGTTACCTAAAATTAATTAACACAGCGTGTTGATTTAAATAAGCATGAAATAAGCACGGTTGTGTGGAAATCAGATGTCGGATGAGACCCACAGTTCCATCATCTACCATCAAATTTTCGCAGGCCGCAAAAAATTGATGGTAGATGGTGCGCACCAGTCACCATTTGATCGGAAATTGAAGGGAATTTGAGCGTGTATTCAGGCCTTAAAACAATCGATTCTTTGCCTCACCTGCAATCGATACTTTCAATGGATTCAAATGGAAGAAAAACAGTCGTGCCAACGTGCTAGAATCACCTTACACTCTCGGAGAGAACATTCTTGTTGGCGAGGAACATCGAGGCGGACCTCCCATCGAGAACCGGTGGCTGAAACTAAATTAACATAATCAATGATGAAAAAAGTGCTTTATCGATTGAGGCCATTTGACAGAAAGAACGAGTTGCAATAATCAACCCGCCGACTTTAAAATTGTCAGGGTTTCCGTCGGTAGAGCTGGGAGAGTGGCATCAGGAAATTAGCGTTTCGGTGGCAGCGTTATGTTGTATCGGTGGAAGTGCAAGTGCGCGTAAAGAGAGTGCCTATAAACGCGAATGTGGTGGTCGTGATGGCAGCTTTCCGCTTTATTGATTCCTAAACCGTGTCACAATGAAATCAATAGTCACCACGGGAGAGTGCCTAAGCTCTACTGTCCTGCGGGCTGATTGTTGAAATTGTTCGATAAAGCGATAGACAAAAAAGGCACAGGGAGCATTGGGAGGACAGCAGGGAACGCTCGGTTCATGTGATTGAACCTAATTTTCTATGTAGAGAACAGTGACGAGGCGTGAATGATCGATTATGGATATTTTTGCATTTGAAGCCATGATAAAGAATGATTTAGCTAATGATTATCGATGCTTTTCGTGGGTTTAAGTGGCAGATCAATCGATGTATAAAAAATCACACCACACTTCGCTACATAGAAAATCAAGTTCGATCATACGAAACGAACGTTCGGTGTCCCGGACACATCAAACCGTTCAGTTTTTCAAACCGAAATTTTGTTCTGTTAAATCGAACATTCAGTTTGTGCGAGATCGAACTTACTTTTCCAGTTCAGTTCAATCTAAAAGTTCGATCTCAGGAATCAGTTTGACGAATTGAAAGTTTGCGTCTGACAAATTGAGTGGTCAAATCTACACGAGACATCGAATTTTCGGTTCCGATAATTAAACTATTCTTCTTTCAACATGCCCACTCAAAATGTAAGGAAGCTTAAATTTGATAAATATACCGATTGAAATTGGATCTCTTCAGCTGGGAAATTCTATTCTTTTTCTCGATAAGGCATCCGGGCCGATTATTAAAAGTAATAGATAGAGCGATAGACAAAGAAGACAAACGGTATGTGGATGGTTCCTATTGGTGGGAGCGGGTGATTGTAATGGACAAAGGAGGTGGGTAATAGGCTGACTAACGAAACCCCATTTAGGAATTGATTTGACGAATTGAAAGTTTCGAGTACCCTTCCTATCGATACTTTTCCATAGGTTTAAATGGCAGATCAATCGATTTATCGAAAAACACGCCACTGGTAGGGAATACCTGAAAATCAATCGATATCTAGGAAACACGGCAACCTGGCGTCACGGAGATGCACGACCTGAGAATCCAATTAAGCAAGCGTCACTTTTCGCCGTAAGAGCGGGAGCCAGAGGCCCAGCCCCCCATCCACCCCTCCACCCCCCCCCCCCCCGTGCCGCCTAAAAATCTCGTTTTTAGCATCGGCGGTTTCTCGTTCGGGTCGGAGGGCTCGAGGCGGGAAGCACCCGCGGGCCGCGTCTTAACCGGAATTAATTGCTCGCGCCTTAAAATACTGTTTAGGCAACCTGCACCGCTTTCTTATTGCTCACCTGCCAGAACGGGATTAATGTGTTGCGGATTGCCGCCCTGCCAAATTTAGGAGGAGCATCCATTTGAAAATGAGTTTCCGTCTGCTGCGCGCTGGAGCTTGTGGGATAGTCAAACACTGGTGAAAAAAAGTAGCTTGGATCAAGAGTCCAGACTCTTAAAAACATTAACAGGAAAAAATACTCTCGATTCAATCGGATTTTTCCTTGAATCGAAGATCCAAGCCTCTTGATTTAAGCGGATTTCCATTTGAATCAACAGTATTTTTTCTTGTCAATGTTTCTAAGAGTCTGGACTCAAGATTCAAGCTACTTTGTATACCAGTAAACACTAAAAGGCCGAATTTCATTCAGAATCAATACAAATCAAAGTATAACGGAGAATGGGTCAGTAGCGCTAGACAAAAAAATCGTGTTTTGATGCTTGATTCGTGCAGATCAGCTAAAAATGATGAAAGCCGCCCAAACAGCATTTTTCTACGTTCGATATCAACTACGCCCTATATTTACGCGCCTCGAAAAATTCGGTTTGTGACGTCATACACCGCGGTAGTGGCACCCTACAGAGCGACCGGCTAGAGCCGCATCTTAGCGCCTACAAGACTGCATGGATACTTCTCGCATTGCGCCAAAAGCAGTGCAGTCAGTCAGTCAGTCAGTCGGCGTGGAACGTATATTAGCGCATTCTGTCCGAGCAGCAACTATCTTCGCTTAGTATTAACAGAGATATCGCGATTTGATAAATTTGGTTTATGACGTTATCAACCGCGGTAGTGACACCCTTGGTTTCTTCCGCCTTGCTTTCATCCGAGTTACACTTTGAGTAACCGGTGCAGATGTGTGTTTCCCTGACTATTCAAAACTATGTGGAAGAAACCAAGGATGTCACTACTGCGGTGGATGACGTCATAAATCGAACTCCCCAAAGCGCAATATCTCGATTAACACTTAAAGTAGAAAGTTGCCATTTGGATTGATCCTAATATATTTAGCGAATCTGCAAGATTCAAATATTAAAAAATAACTCTGTAACCAGCGTAACTGACCCATTTGCAGATGCCTGAAATTTGCTGAATTTCATGATTAACTATGAGAACTAAACACGAAAATGTAATTGGTTTCTATATTGAACAATCGGAGGAAATATGTCAAAATAACCCTATGACTTAAAACCTATGTGTTCAAATAGAAAATTCCGCTAAATGACGTCACAAAGCGGTACATTTTCTCACATTTAAATCTACTTCTCTACAATTTCCTATCAGAGTAAATTCATGAAAAATACTGCGAACTCGGCTCATCAAGCACTCTCCGATACAGCAATGATATTTTTTCGTGCAAATTCTCCATTGCAATATAGTTAAATTTTACTCGAAAATTAAGTCAATTTTGATTCGATTTCCTTTTTAACAATATGGAGAAATGGTGCTGGGTCCACACGATTTTGCGGGGGAATCAAAGCCAAAAATTTCAATTAAAGTCAAAAAATGCGTTTAAAGCTCTAATAAGTACCAGTATAATACGTCCTTTTGATTCTAATTGAAATTTTCGGAACTTTTTGGCTTTGTTTTCCCGACATGGTGTGGACCCAGCACAATTTCTATAGCTTGTTGCATATGGTTCGGGCCATTTCTTAATGTTCTTTCTCGTTTCTTTTTTGATATGGTAACATACTTTTATTATCTTTAACAGGGTAGAATGTGTCACAAGAACGTATCATATGCGATAATGATAATAATTCTCTGAGTAATATTCGTCTTTTCTGGTGTGTTGAGCAGCCTAGAATCGTCTGTTGGACTCGCGGAGAATATCGGCGTCGAGTTAGAGACTGCCATCCGCACAAATGACACCGCCAGAGTCAAACGCTTCCTCAACTTACACCATGACAAGTTTCAGGTGAGTTCCATTATAATCATTTTTCCATCGGCCTTCTCATTCAACATCCTTTTTGCCTCGAATTTTTAACCACTGTAAGGCACATCGGACGTTTTCGCACGAGCCGATTCCGTTCCTTTTAGCCTGTATACACCAAAAAAAAAAAAAGATTGGTAGAATTTACCATTCCTTTACGCTGTATTTCACACAACGTGAAGGAATGGTAAATTCTACAAGTCTTCAAGTCGATTTTGCCAGAGGAATGGTTACCTGTACCAGTATATAGTAACGTTACCTTTCTTCTCACGGAAAAAATTAAATTGTCAATTTGGCGATTCAATTGCTAAAAAAAAGTGACTGCAATGTTTCAATGTAGATTTTACAACACAAAAATGTTACTTCAACCACCTCCGTGGTTACATTAGCTTACAATAGTGGTTAAAGTAGCATTTTTTTGGACAAATCTTGCAGTCACTTTTTTAGCAATTGAATTGTTAAATCAGTAATTTAATTTTTGCCGTTCTGGTAGAATTGACTCTGAATTGAAGCTGTGTGAAATACAGCGTGAAGGAATAATAAATTCTACCAATCTTTTTTTTCAGTGTACGTCCATATTGTCTCTCTGATTAGTTGTCATACACGGACTAGGATCAGACTAGGATTGAAGAATACAATTCAATTCAGCTACTTCAAATATATGAAGTAGCTGCTAATTGAGTACCTTTACAGACAGAGTATGGCCAATGGCCATTCGTATCTTTTTACTACCGGAAAACTGTTCCGCTTTTTGATTGGTCAACGAGTTTTTAGGCTTCATGATGCTCTTACGGCCGTAAATAAACAAACAAGATGGCGGCTCACCGTAACATCGATAAGAAGATTTTGACAAAAATTCCAATTATACGGCAGTAACAATTTAAACTAGCATATCTACGAATAACACACGAAAAACACATTAAAACATTGTTAAATCGCCTTTCACTTTTATCACAGGAGGATGTAAGATGTGCATAACCTCAATCTTGCTTGCTGATAACGGCCATCTTGTTTGTTTATTTACGGCCGTAAGAACATCGTGTCCGCCTATTTTCACGCGACCAATGAAAAACCGGAACAGAAATGGCCATACTTTGTCTATAAAGGTACTCTAGCTACTAATCGTCCGAAAGGAGTATTTAGCTCCTCGTTTCTCCGCGACTTAATGGATGATGTTTCCGGACTTATTTAGTACCCGAGAAGCCCGGACGAGTATTGAATCCCTGCGATCTCAGAAAACGGAGTCAATATCAATAAATTCGTATAAATTTAATCCTCCCGCGAGATCATGAGATGAGACGCGTCTTGATGGGAGACGGCTCTACCTCGGTGAATAACTCCTAATACGATACAGTGCCATATCCAATATAATATATCACTTCCCAGTTCGTGCCTTTTCAAGCCCTCTTCATGCAGATGTAACGGCATTGCCAGATCGAGCAAATATTTTGCAAAATACGTTCACTGGAAAAAAAGTAGCTTCGATCCATAGTGATCCGATATTAAATCCTTAGCGGTGAAGAAGAAAAATCCCTAGATTTCGCTGAGAAGCCCTAAATCCCCAGATTTGCACAAATATTCCTAAAAAGTCCCTAGATTTTGCAAAAAAAACCGCCAGTTTTAACGTAGCAACATGACGTCATTCGATGTATCGATTTGCAGTATTCAAATCTGATTGGCTCGTTTGAATTTTGCCGCTCTCTGAAAGCAGTGCTAAACCAGACCAATAAAATGAAAGAATATTAGTTGAGTTTTTATTATTGGTTCATAAATTGAACTATTATTGGAGGAGTTGTGACAAACTTATCTAATCTACTAAAATGCGTTTGTTTGAATAGGCATTGCCTCCAGATGACGTCATTATAGGTTGTTAATCTTTTCTTTTTTAAATATATTTTTATACTATTTCCCAAATCCAAAAAAAATCATAAAAAATACTGTTAAATCTGCTCTTTCAGCCTTCTCAGATGAATAACAAATTTGCGTGCAAATTCTCCATGCGCCCAAAAAGGGTCTCCGAAAAAACTACTCTTACCTTTATTCTCAAAAAATTAGCCATTGAAAATTTACTAGTTTTTTCAACACACATAGTTCTTGACTACATTCTATGCTTTTAGCGTGTTCGTAGACATGACCATTAAACCAGGCAACCGCGGTCAGCACTGCGCGTAATAGGTTGTAGCGTTAGTTGAGCTCAGACCTGCCAGTTTTCCCTGAATATGCAGAGTTTTGAATTTAAAGCAACGACAAATCGGCACATTTTCGCGAAAATTGGGTTTCATCAGTTGAGTGGCGTGACACACACTCGGCAAATTCTAAGCTGTATTGACAGAAATGCAGCTAGAAGAGGATCATACGGACATATTTCCGCCAAACGGAAGTATCTGAATTTAGACGTGAACCCTGTTATGCATGTATTCGTATGGGTCTCAGGGCTCAGGTCTTAATGCACATAGTTCCGCTAGGCAGAAATACGTCCATATTCTCTCTGAGCCAAAGCCTCCTTAAGATCCGCCCATCGTATAAGGCAACCTCATAACGTAGCCTATGGTGTGGCGTGCTTTGCAATAAATCGATCGATCTGTCATTTAAACCTATTGAAAAGGATCGATCGGCATGGTGTACGCAACGGACACCTCAATAACCGATGCCTTACCATAGCTTCAAATGGGAAAATATCGATAATCGATCTTTCACGCCTCACCACTGAACGCAGCCGTGTTACTCAAGACAGCATTGATGACCAAATTTTCAAAATCTAAAACTTAAAAATTCGACTAAGTGTATGTAAATCAACCGACTGATTCACTAGGACAGCATAATTCGCACTATTGCAGACCATGGGCATGCAACTATTTTAACTTCAGGGATACGCGTGAAGTATCTCAGGAAATGCAGGAGTTTTAGGAGGGACAGTTTTCCGACGAGTACTTGCAGCAACGTGATAGGAATCGCTCTCCTGAAAAATATGCCTCTTGGAGTAGTTTGTAAGATAATTGATTAGTTAACAAAATGAAAAGTCCTGAGTACGAGAATAACACCGATTTTATGGTAGCATATCTTTGAGATTGTCGCATAAACAAAATATTAGGAGAAAGCTGTATTTTTCTTCAAGATTATACCTGCCTTTGCCTCAGAACCTCAGCAGCGTCGCACCACGTTTAATTTTTACGTTTCTGCACGAGAAAGAAATATCGTATGTTTTTAATTCAATTTAAACAAGTAACGTCAATGAAGAATGAAAGCCATGGGAGCACAACATTTGATTCCTTGAAATAATGGCCGGTCGCAAAATGGAATTCAGAGCAGCCTTGCGCGCCGTCGAGCGCTCCACTGAATCTTCCAGTCTAATAGGGAAAAATTTCGAAGAGAGCCGTTTGTTTCGAACAAAAAGAGTAGCGGAGATTTCAGGTTGGATCTCCGTGAGAAAAGAATATTCCGAGATGAATTCTTTTGCCTGAGGATTTCTGGCTATAAAAGATATTTCGAGTCTTTTGCCTGGCAAGCCGCATCTCTTCAGCAAAGCATTCCATGGATGCGAAGGTTTCTGAATTTCAGCCTCCTTTGTTGTCTCGTCGTAATAAAAAATATGAGATGTGAGTTTCATGATAATAAATTGAACTCATTAGACAAACTGTTAAGCGCTCTGCTGGTGGGGAGCGCTTTTAGATTTCAACCTGCCTTTTGAATTCTAGTATTTTAGTGCAATATGCGTTCAAATGGCACACCAGCTAGATAGCGGCGAGGGGCCCAACATACTTAGAATAAGTTAATCTGCGATACCGATGCTTCTGGTGTCCAAGTAGCGAGGACGATAATAGTTTTCTTTTATAATTGCTTCCGCAATTCTACTAAAAGCCGCCGTGTTAGAAAATGCCGTATGGTTCTCAGATGGTTCCCTCTTTCCGGCTATCAAGAGGTTAAAAATGCATCCCCCAAGAATTGATTTCATCGAAGCCCTAGTACATTGTGACTCTATTGTACTCTATGGTATTGATACAGCCCTTAGGCTCCTAAGTCTCGCGACACAATCTTTGCGCCCAATCGGATAGACACAAAACAAAGTTTGCATGCTAGTAAATGTTCAGAACTTTTTAAAAAAAGAAAAGGAAGCCTTTTCTATCCCACCGAACGAGGATTCCAGCCCCAGAAGCGACATAGAGGTCAGCTATGTGGCCTGCGGTTTTCTACCACTGCTGTCCTGGTATTCCTGCCGGCTTTTTGGCGGTTTTACTTTCGGAGTGTCACCCAAAAGGATATTTTTCTCTGCGTGTTTTAAATTTGAGAGAATAGATACATGTAAATAAACTTAAAAAAAAAAAAAAACCTCGTCAAACCACTCCGGGTCTCTCTCGCGTTTCACCTCGAAATAGGACTATAACTAACATCCAATAAAACACTCACCTCAGCCTGATCCTTGCGTTCAATGGGTTTTAACAAATCTCCCAAGGTTTTTCGAACGTTTAGGAAAACTTGATCCGCAGACCTCATGAGTTCTACCATGATAAGCGTTCTTCCATTTCTGTTCTTCCAAAAAAAAAAAAAAAAAAAAAAAAAAAAAAAAAAAAAAAAAGAGAGAGAGAGAGAGAGACAAGGAAAAATAGCTCCTGTCCTGTCTTTGATATTTTTCAGTCATTGGTCGGTCATCGTAATTCTCATCAATTAAGATTGGCCCGCTATTGATAATCTCTATGATAAAGGTGTCTCGCTGTCGTGTGTTCCTCCAAACGCGGAGGGTATGACTTGAAACTAAAAAAATATACGGTAAAATTCTATCTCTTTCTAAAATATAAACAATTATACATATTCTTCCTGTAAAAATGCGAATTGAAAATTAGAGATACAACAAGAATTTTGTACCTTTTGTCCGCAAGAGATCTTTTTGGCATTAAACGGCTTTCAATTTCCTATTTCAACCGGACTCATTGCTTTAACTGCCCCTACAGTTGCCGTTACGCAAACATAATCCGTTTGAAGTGCATCCATCAATTTTTTTAACTCATCATCCTGTAAGAGGTCTGGTGAAAGTGATTTCTTTTTTTTCTTGATTTCGAGTTCATTCGAATCCATTTGTCGTATTTGGCCTCTGAGTTTCTCAACGAGTCTCGTAAACTGCAACATGAGAAGGCAAGCGATGAAAACAAAAGCCTAATCCAGAGGTTGCGTTAGAGCAATAAAACATAACCTCAAGGTGAGATCATGTGTCGAATATTTAGTGTGTTAGGTCATTACGAATTTGACGTTTATAAATCATAAATCAATTTATAACCTCTTAAACTTGAAAAACGTCAATTGTGAGAAATTATGCAGATTCGGAAAATTTCTGCTGATAAAAACTAGATTCTCTCACGAGGCCGTGTATTTTTTTCTGCTAATTTTTCGTAGATTTTGATTTGCGATTCAGTGTAAAGAGTTTAATTTCAATAAATTTTCAATTTTCACAAAATCCAACAAAGAAAAAATGTATAACTTTTTTCAAATATAAATATTATACCGGAGAAAATGGAACATTAAAAAAATTAAAAATTAAAAAGCACCTTGAAAAAAAGCACTCACTTCAACCTGATTGGCAACTCCCAAGGTCCAAAGCATACCTTCCAGCGTTTTTCGAATTTCAATGATAATTTCATCTTGGGACGCCATTAGATTCAACAGTTCTTTTACGTTTAAATCCGCCATCAGTCTTGACTTCGAGAAGACAGCTTGTATTGCCTCGAGCCGCTCAGTCTCAGCTTTTTTCATTTCATCTATGTCATTTTTAAAAAATTCCAGAGCTTCATTTGGGGCCTTCATTTCGACGGAAAATGCCTACGAGTGAACATGCATCAATTTAAAAGTTGGAAGGTCCAATTAAAAATGTTATAAAAAAATTGAATGATCAAGAATCATTGTCTCACACCTAGCAAGTGGAGCACCCCATTAAAAATATGTGTGATGCGAAATCAAATATTTAGACAAATAATTTTTCAATGCCAAAAAAAACCAAACTTTTGAATAAAACTTATCAAAACTTTTTGAAAACTACAACAAATTAATATTACATTTCGGAATATTTATCCTTCCTAAATATAAGCGTTTTATAGGATTGAAGGTACTTGAACTTACTATTCCAGAGCAATTTTAGTTCAAAAAAATATTTTCCATCAGTTCAGCCCAAGCCAAACTAATATATATATTTTTTAGGGCAGGTTGTGCCAGTTCAGCTATGAGGGAATGTAATTTGGGACTATTAGAAATAATTCATTAGATGATTCTTACTTCACCTGGGATGTAAATTAACACAAAGATTGTAAGAAGTGACGCTGAGAGTTCCCATAGTGAAACCATTATATCTCCACACTTGAAAAGACTCTGGACTGTTTGTGTGTCTTCTAATTTTGTAGTACTACTATGGCACATTCTACATTGTGTTGCACTCACGTGTAAAACAGTGTAACACTACACTTTGTTTCTTAAGTTAAACAAATTAATCGGCATCAATACTTGAGGTCTAAAAGTGCCAAGTTCCAATCGCGTCTTGTTAATATTTGTCCGCTTTACACACGTAACAGTAAAAAGAAAACGAGGTGCCCAACTATAATTTTTATTTACGGAAAGGCCTACACTTTGTGATTTGCAAAAATCGTGACGGATATGGGAAACTAAGGATCACGAATTTTTGTGTGTGGGGATTTTTAATAATTAAATATTCCAATTTTTACAGGAGAGCGTTATGCTTGTCTACTTTTTTCCTTCATTTTCTTTTTTTCTCCGTCAAATATCATGCAGTCCGACGCAATTTAATTCTCAGTTCCTATTTGGATGTTCGTTAGTTGTTTAATGGTATTATCACACCAAAGTGATCTGTTGTTGATATGCCTTTCAATAACCGATGCTTAGTCGCCTGGTCAATGACGTCACATTTTCTTCACAGCTTATGCTAACATTCTCGGTCACAATGTATGGTGGAATGTATAACGTCGTTATTACTGGAGTTACATAGATTTACCGATATGGAACTGAATTCTGACGGAGTTGAAACCTTTCGATATGACGATTGAGCTTCATCCCATACGCCAATTTTTTTAGTCGAGGTAACCAAACTTTTCAGTTACAGAGCTGAAATTTGGCTCCAGGAATAATTTTCTTCATCAGAGTATGGACCCGATGAACTCGGGTTATCCAAAACAAAGTTCAATTCTTATGACCAGAAGTTCGGCTAACTGGATAAAAAACTTTGGCTTTCCGTCGAATCGAAGTTTTTCCTCTTGATATTATTTAACACTTTTCGTAAAATTGAAACGAGGGCTTTGAAACACTGCGATCGAGTCACACGTTCTTGCAGTTTCACCTCCGAAACCTTCGATTTAAAGCCTCGTTCAAAAGGTAAGGAACTAATAAAGGGACGACCATCAAAACAACCCTTAAGCATTCCCTGAAGGAAGACCGTGAAAAATGAAAGCGACACCAATTTGGCAAACCCCAACAGGGAACATTTACCCCAGCCCCCCTCCTCCACCACCACAACCACCGGCTCACAGTGGATTGAGTCAATTAGAGAGGTCGGACATGAAATTTTTGACTCAAACTGCAAATTTTTAGGTTTATTTCGACAAATTTTAAATTTCAAGGGGTATTAATGAAAGAAAATTTCACGAGGAAACCAATGGAACCACTTTTAGTATCTCAAAGTTTTGTATAAACGGAGTTATAATGGAGATGTTACATGTGTGAGAAAGTTGCGATTTGACTATTGATTCTTTTGTAAAAGTTCGCGAGGAACACGATGGTGCCACTGGTTTTTTTCTGAAATTAACTCCTAAGCTCAAAAAAAGCTCTCATGTTGAGGCCAGAATGGAGGGAATATCCCACGCTATCCTGAGAGTCCACCTCTACATCAAGACAAACTCTCCATGCAAAGATAGGGAGTAAATACATTAGCAGGGTTGTCGTGTTTCCAGTTGTGGAGTCCCGAAATAAAGTGGCAGCCCTGCCATTGTATTTGCTCCCTATCTTTGCATGGAGAGTTTGTCTTGATGTAGAGGTTGACTCTCAGGATAGCGTGGGATATCCCCTCCATTTTGGCCTCAACTTGAGAGCTTTTTTTGAGCTTGGGAGTTAATTTCAGAGAAAACCAGTGGCACCATTGTATTTTTTGCAAACTTTTACATATGAATCAGTAGTCAAATCGCAAATTCCTCGTACATGCAACATCTCCATTTTTCAAAGTTTCCAAATTTTGTCCGACCTCTCTTATTGACTCGACCCACAGTGTGGCTGCCCCGTTTCCATACGACCGCTTTGCGACCGAGGTAAATGTCAAACAGAAATGAATGCTGGGCCTGAAAATATTACAATGAGCTGTCCCCACCCACGCCCCTTCCCCCACCCTCCGCCCAGAGGGCTGTTGTTCCCTTGTTGCGCCCCCATCGCGTCGAATCTCAAAAGAACTCAAGTGCAATTGGATCCGAGCGTTGCTTGCGCGCTTTTGCCGAAGACGAGCGTCCGCTTTATCAAAGTTCACGTTTATTCCGACTCGTCGCTATCACTCGTTTTTGTATCGCATCGTGTTGTTATTGTTTTCGTTTTGGCTTTTGTTTCGCTCCCGTGTTTTCTTTTTTCTTGTAGCTCTCCTGTCCGCGCTTTTGTCTGGCGGAGCGGGGCTTTTGTCCGTTTTCGCGCCGATTGGCGTGTTCGCCGGCTGCTGGAAAAACCGCATAACTCGGATTGGATTTTTATCGGTAGATGCGCTGTTTTGTAGCGAAAGCGATGCCCGCGTTCCCGACTCAGTTTTGCGTGGGCTGGGTGCGTTTATGAGCGTCCATTGACTCCACTGCAAGGGAAGTTTTATTTTCATGTTTTTAATACGTTTATTTCTTCCCTTCCCCCTCTGAAACAGCATAAACGAGTAAAAAGAATAGAAGTAGGGAGTAGACTATCTGGCAACGTACGATCTCTAAAAATTCAATAGCTGGTTCACGAAACAAGTATAGTAAATATTATCCGAGTAGTAAGTATGGTAAGTATAACTACAAGTCGCCTGATTTCCGATTCGATGATGATTGAACCCCATGGTTCTGAAACGTTTCAGATTTCAGCATTTTAAAATAGAATAAGACCAGAGTAAATACGTTGTTGTTCCAAGATTCAATATTAAATTTTTTTTTTTTTTTTTTTTTTTTTTTTCTTAAGTAAGTAAGTAATGCTACTCGCTATCTTATTATAAATGCAATACACGTATAACTACCAAGCAGGACTGTGCAACACACGCAACTGGTAAGTCGATCGGTTATATTCGAAATAATAAGGCACCGCTCTCTTGTGATGTTGTGAAAAATATGAAATTTTGTTTAAATTTTGCCATAGCCCCTCTACGTAATAGATTTAGCTCACTCAATTCAAATAACTATTGTTACATCTTATACGTAAAAAGTTCTTTGATTCTAAAATAAGCTCCTTTGCTGCAAGTTTTGACGTGACGGAGCAGCCAGATATTCAATTTTAATAAAAGACTTAAAACTTGAACAAAGCGAATTCCGAGTGCTTTCTCCCTCTTTGATAAACCCGACTGACGAAATTAAATCTTCAGCTTTCTCATAATGTAGCGTTTTCCCGTTCGAGTTTTTCATTCAGCCGGAGCCTCTACCCTGGAGATAATATTTCCTTGTTGTCTCTCACAGGAAGAGGTTTCAATGGAGATAATTCATGACTAAATTTTTAAATCGGACATATTCATGCCAAAAAGAACCGTGTACGCACAAACAAAAAATCAAAAGAGGTCACACTGGGAAAAAAACACATTGGATCTAGAGTCCAGACTCTTAAAAACATCGACAAGAAAAAATACTCTTGATTCAATCGGATTTTTGCTTAAATCAAGAACCAAGCCTCTTGATGTGAGCGGATTTCCTTTTGATTTAAGCAAAAATCTGATTGAATCAAGAGTATTTTTTCTTGTCAATGTTTTCAAGAGTCTGCAGGACTCTAGATCCAATGTGTTTTTTTTTTCGAGTGAGCACTCAAATTCCATGCAACGCAGCACCTTTTGATTTAGTTCTTCAGTGAATATTTGTAGTTCCTTCCCGTAGATCTTCACAGAGGATTACACTGATTTGGGCGTAATTAAAGCACTAGGAACCAGTGACGAGGCGCTAATGATCGATTATCGATGTGTTCCCGTTTGAAGCTATGGTAAACAGTCGGTTATTCAGGTGTTCATATCGAACACCCTGTTTATCGATCATTTTCCATGGGTTTAAATGGCAGATCAATCGATAATTTGCAAAGCACGCCACGCCACTTTACTGCTAGAAACTATGTGCGAGGGTCTCACAATAGATTTTCAAAGATTTTTCAAAGAAATCCACGGAAACGATATTGTGTGAAAAATTAAATTGCTCGGATAAAGGCAATAGCTGATGTTGCTTGGTTCCTCTCTACATAACGCGGTACAATTGAGCCATCTGTTCTTCTCAGTGGCACTCTTAAAACTTTTTTTTCAACACTCTGAATTTTGAACTGGAGAAAATTTACGATTAGTTGAATTCAAAGCTACCTCATACTCGTTAATTTCTCATAATGTGACCTGGTGCGTTACTGTTGAACTCAGTCAGAGGAGGATCCAGCAATTTGACAACACCGAGTTTCCTCCATTTAAACCTCTGCTAAATGAATCATATTTAGCAAAATGTAACCACTGTCATTTTAGTGTTTTCAAAAGCATGTAGAACCTCAAAAACCTTCAGGCACTGCCAGATTTTCTTTGATAAAACACGAATTCTCTGGTAAACTAATGAATATTTTTCGTCCAATTTTTCAGAGAATTTTGTTAGTATTTTGATCTAAAGTTCTGTATGGAAACTTTGACTTTATCCTGATGCTCATACGGTGCAGCGTAGCGTTCATCCTTATTATGTCAATATGGTAACTTCTGTTAAGGCGCTCTGAGCAACTATACAAACTCTCCGGAGCGTATGTTGCCTAGCCGAAAATTTGAAGGCGTTTTTACTGCGCAGAAAGGCAACTGGAGGCGCAAGAAGACCATTAAAAACTTCATATATTTTTTTTCTTGAATTTTATATTTTATACATGTGATGCTGGACTCTTAACAACTGTTCTTCTTTTCCTACGTGACATCGACCATGTTTCTCTCATGAGAGAAGAGATGAGCTCAAAATTTTGTGAATTGGAGAAATCATCTTTGATCATCTTGATTTTGATAAATACCTCGTCCTTCCCGATTTAGTAGGTGATGTTAGTTAATTAAATTGCCGTGCTAAAGGAAAGCGCTGGATGAACCTCTAGGCGTCGCCAAAATACCTTTGATAAAACACGAATTCCCTGGTAAACTAATGAATATTCTTCGTCCAATTTTTCAGAGAATTTTGTTAGTATTTTGATCTAAATTTCCTGAAAATTTCAAGGGAAAATATTCACAACCTCCCTCGATAATAAAAATGTTATTGAAATAAATTCTGCAACTCTCGAATGCTCATACGGCGTTCTTCCTGAGCACGGCAGAATTGCGCTGGTTTCTTTTTGCTATATGCGATCCAAATAATCGATTTTTGTCGGAGCACCCGACCCCTCTAAGAATCGATACATTTCCATAGGTTTAAATGGAGGCAATCCGGTGTTGCCAAATTGCTGGCTCCGCCAATGAACTCAGTCCCAATGCGGTTATTGCTGAAAAGAGGCCTGTCGAAGAGGGGCGAGCACACTCCGTCAATTAACGACGGAAGTTGGGCCGACGGCGTCATCGTGACGGCGGCGGTTGGAAGTCATGAGCCGCCAGACCGGGACGTCGGGGAGGGGAGGGGGTGGGCCATTGAATGTTAATTTGATGAACTAATAATGAGCGGGGCACCAGTCGGACAATTATTCCCCGGATAATTGAATTTCT